GAAAAATAATGCCCGAAATTTTAATTCCGCAACTGTAACCTACCTTTTTAAAAAGTGTCTTACTTGTTATAAGCTTTTGAGCTCGCTATTTAAATTCCGTAACAATCTATGAAAAACAGTGATAAAGTGGTGTTTAAAGTACTGTTATTTTCCCGTACTTTATTAAACCAATTATTATCGAAACGATAAAACTTATCCAGTGTTAAATCGTTCCAGAAACTGGAATGGAGAGGGAATGCAACATAATAAATTATATCATTATGAATAGAAGTGACAACTGGGCGAAGCACAAAGATAGATACCTTCTCTTCTGAATAATATTATACTATTTTATCTTCAAGCGTATCACAAAGAAAAAGAAATTTGGTCTCTGTTTACTTTTAAAGGTTAAACGGCCATCTTGCAATTTTTGATTTTATGTACTTGCACTTTTAAGTACTTGCACTTGTGGGACCTCGAGTTGACGGTTCGGATCACAAACCACGATCGCGCTTGGAAAATGTCAGTTTCTGGTCTTGTGATACAAATAACTACACGTTTAATATGCCAACACGCTGTTTCAAAAATAAGTTACAATATTATTTGTTTTTTTTTTGCATTTTGAATGTAGATTTTAGTTTCTGTCGCTCTGAATTTGAGTCTGTTTAATTCACAAAAATGTGTACTGTCACTATTTATCAAACTCAAAATAATTCTGCCAAGTACCAAAAGACCTTTTCTTAAGGCACAAGTGCTAGGAGTGATTTTTCAAAGTTTTTCGAAGAGCAGGGGGCGAAACTTGTGAACCACCTAACGGGGCCACCGTCGACGAAGCAAACAAATATTTACTAATTTTACGTATACAAAATGTTTTGTCACAACACATTTCTGCCCTCAAACGAAAGAACTGACTTTTATCTTTAGTTGAGACCATAGCCGTACCTAGGAACTCTTCTGCCTTGCTTGACACAGCATGATTTCTGAGGTACTGCTCTGTACATTTTTTGACACCGATGTCCTCATACTCGTTCTCAAATATGCTTCAAAAAACGCTGTTACTATTGCGGTACATAACCATGAGATGCATTGCTTGGTATTAAATAATTAAATATTTGTATTATTTATTATTTCATGTCACAACTGATGACAACTGAGACTGAGAGAGCCGTAATCGGTATAAGCGTAATCTTCTCTAATCTCGAAGTTGTTTTAGTTCAAGGGTTTTGAAATAGATGACAAAATAGTGCTAGCCCATTATAGTGAAGAAAGGGGTTGTAAATAGCAAATAAGAATGAAGTGCAGTTTTATTGCCATCTACTAGAAATTTTATTGTTTCAAAAAAATATGTATATATACCGTATGTTTGAATCCGCGCTCTTAGGCAAAGACTTGAATTTTGTTTCTCAGAATCGACTTTGACTACTCATTTATTTGATCATACGATACATTTAATTTGTTTTCTCATTTTGTATAATAGTACATTATATTGAAAGTGATAGAAATCATTATACGCGAGTGAGAATTTTGACACTTCTCATGAGTTTCATAATAGCATTTCGATCACGTGTGATATACGACGTTTTATCTTACAGGTGCAACTATCCAAAAAATGAAGTTTCATTCAAGTAAAATATTCACCTATAAAAATATAATAGTAAATATAATATAATAGTCAAATTTACTCACTTGTGAGTACTTTATCTCACTTGTGAATAATATTTGATTTATATCACCAAAAACAATGGTCTAAGGTAGCTCAAAAACTCAACCTGTAAGATAAAAGATTTTTGTTGGAAGTGATGAAATTATATGTAGTATGAACTCGTTGAATTAATTTTTTGATGACTTAAACATGGATTTGAAGTTGTTAGATATCCCACAACTACTTCTCCTTCTGGCACATGCATTTCCGCACTTTTTAAAATAAATAACTATTAAATGCTACATAACTGATAGTTAATGTAATTTATTTTACACATTATTGTTTTATGAGACACTTTCGTTTGTTAAAATTGTCTTAAAGATAGACATTCTCGTTTTACATGTAAAATAGATTGTAGAATTAGAAGTAAGTAATCATACGTTTTGATTGTCAAGAAGTAAATTGTAAACAGTTTGAACATCTTGTTTTTAATCTCATTTCTAAATTGACGTTTATTCCAAAATTTGAAACATTGTTTAAATAGTAATTAAAATATTTTATTAAATTTTCATGCTTCGTTTAGTTTTGTTATTTTAGTTTGATTGAAAGCATTTGGTGCAAGATGTGTAAAATGATTTCAGATTCTAAGAACACAAAAAATCGTAGATCACAATTACTGTATACTTAATTGAATGACTGAATTCAATTATTAAACTTAATTGCCCAACGATTATTTACAAAATTTTAATATCTCTCAATCAGATGTTTTAATGAAAATTGTTGGCTCAATAATCGAACTGCGTCATTCATGTTGTTAATCTTCTTAGAATATTCTGCCAAACCAAATCTATTATACCATTTAATTCGGAAAAAATAAAAAAAAATGCTCCATTTGACCCATGTTTCTATTTTAAAAAATCAATTTGGCTTTATATTTCAAAAAAAATTAACAAAATTTTTTTTATGGTGCAGGTTTTAACCGATTCCATACATAGTAGCAACACTATATTAAAATTTCATTAGTAAGACATCTTTCAGAAATTAATATGTATATTACACGAAAAAATTTCATTACGAGTATAATGTTTTTAGTGATGAAATTGTCATTATTCAAGACTTGTTTTTCTTTTAATAAATATAATTACGGACACGGAATTTTGGACGATTTATTCTTTGACTGACATAAAAGTGTAAAACGGGCCTTATGCTACTAATCTCACTTTCGGTTTTTGTAATTTTTATCCTAACAGCTAGATAAAAAATGACAACAAATCAAAATAATTTATTGAACTTACACAAAAGCACGTAAAAATTAAATTTTAACTAAAACTTTGAAATTTTAGTTTCAAACATCAGTCATAATAATAATAAAGCGTGGCTTACATCGACATTTTTTGAACTGACATAAATTTAATGTCCAAAATTCTGTGTCCGCCATTGTAATGATAATTTAGAATAATAAATAATCTCTTATAATGAATCAATAAACTGTCTAAAAACACATGTAATAACTTCGCTTTTACCATGGTTTTCCATTAAGCTGTAATTAATAACATTTGAGGATAAATGGGTTAACATAAAAATTTTCGTCATTGCATAAGTACGTTTAAGTTATACTGATTAATGTACTGTGTAATATTAACGATAATAGGTATGAAATCGTATTTCATTTATTTTTTGTCAGTCGTTTCAGTACCTGTTAGTAGTCCACCTGGCAATCTCTCGACACTTCAGGGAATGTCAAGCTCGTTACAAGCTTTAAGACCCCAAGGTCCTTCAATAACACCGTCATTGGCTAATCACTATAGAGATGATTTAGTTAACCACGTTAGGGGATGGCCAGCAGAAATTTTAGAAAAACAGGTAAGTAATTTAAACCCACATTTAATAATTTTAAATAAATCTATCAAAAATAGAATTTAATGTTATTTAATATTTTAGGCCCAAAAATTAGCAGAAGAAGCTCACATTATGGGTAGTATACAATGTTCTAAAGTTTCCGCTGAACTCAAGTCTGCTAGGTCAATAGTTCGACTCACAGAAATTCAGGCCACATTACAAGAACAGAGGTTTGTGTATTGATAATTGGTGTGATTTCTTTATAAAAAAAAATCAATATATTGAAGTGTAACACATTTGTTTTCAGAATTTTGTTTCTTCGTCAACAAATTAAAGAATTGGAAGAGTTAAAATCCCAAAATTCATTTATGTCTGATGATTCTTAGTGGATGAAAATATCACAAGATTAGTGTTAATAGCTAAACATTTTCGTTAAGTGGAAAGTATGCATTATTATTTAATTAATTTATAACTTCAGCCGGTGTATATTTATATTTCCTTCATAATTTGCCTTCAAGTTGGTAACTTGATAAGGCCTATTTTGGCATTTTATTTAATTTGTTAGATACTAAAGACTATTTCTCTTAGGTAGAATTTAATATGTGACTTGTATTATAATGGTTTTATGTTTTAGATTTAGATAAATTAATATAATATAGAAATAGTTTTTTTTTTCAAGTGTATATTTTCATTTGATCTGTTTTATTTTACAGACATGCTGTACAAAGTGATTTTACTGATCGAGGTACTATTTATGTATTTACGTTGTATTTATAAAAATTAAAATATTTGATAAAATAAAACTATGCTATAAACTATTCTATCTTGTACTTGTAATATGGTGAGTTTTGATTAAGATGGTTGAATGAAGGAAAAGAAACAAAATGATACAAACAAATCAAATGGAGATATACACAAAACAGTAAAAAGCACATTGCTCCTTCTGAATATAAATATTTTAAAGTTTGTATTTTTTCCAAAAAAATGAAAAAAGAAAAAATCTATTAAATATCTTGTGATATAAATACTGTTCATGTTTCTGTTCTATGTTGCTTTGATGTAAGAAATTTATAAATTACAATTGTTATATTCAATATAAATAGAGTTACACTAATTTTGTACATCCAGATATTTGAATATGACAACTGTAAATTGACTTTATACAATTACCTTATTACATTTCTTTTGTTTTATATTTTATTATCAATTTTAAAAATTATAACTTAAAAAAGTACATTTGACGCAAATCCTTAGTCTTAATTTCCACAGGATTAAGACTTTTCAGATCTTTTAGCACAGTTTCATTTGGCTGAGGAAATACTTTGTATAGTTGTCTCCATGTATTTGAGTGTATGTCTGTTATATATAATCTTATAAAATTGAAATGTTCCATACAAGTAACATTAAACTTTTTAATCTATCTGGATTTTTAGTTAGTAAACTTATTGTCCTCCACATAAATTTTGTAACTAAGAACAACTGCAGGAATTTCAAATATTACCAGGATCTAAAAAGAAACTAGGTCAATACATACTCATGATGGTTTTATAACTAATGTAATTTTATTAACTAAAACAAAATTTAACAAAACTTGGCTTTATTAAGTATAAATTATTGTAAATATAATTTATAAAAGATACTAGTGTAATAGGAATGATTTGGGACAAGAAAATAAAATAATCCTGTCAGTTGTTTTCCATTATAAACTTCACATTCAACGTAAACAACATGTAACTATCCAAAAGAAAATAATTTAAACGAAACTAGGCCAAGTTCTTGACAAATATAACTAAAAATTATACATTAAAAAAATAAAGGCACAAATATGCTGAAAATTCCATCCGGTCGTATAAAGTATCCCAAACTCTTGGTTAAATGAATAGGAATCAACAGCTGAAATAAAAATGAAATTTTCAGCAAAACGTTTTATTTCTTGTAGAATTACAATATTTACACGAAGCAGTCTAACTCCTTTTAATACTTTTCACATAAAAAAGAGCATAATAACAGCTCATTACGTAAAACAACACAAGTATTTCATAGACAACAAAAATTATTATTAATTCATTTAAATATATTCTAAGAATATAATTTATATAAAATAGATGTGTTGTTAAAAATCACACTTTTAAACAAATATTTACATATTTTTCAATTGGAGGAACTAAGGAGTGAGCCTACTTTTTGATAAGATAACACAGACAAAAACTAAAATAGCAACAAAAAATAAATACTATTGCATTGCAATAATTACTACTTCGATACTCAGCAATCCTTGATAGATAACTTGGCTGCCAAATTCTTACCACAAACCAAATTACACCGAGAAAAATATTCTAGTCTTCTATAATGGACTTTTGCAATAAAAAGAATAACTCGTTTTGTCTGTGTTGATTAGTTTAGATATTATATTTATATGCATATTGTTTATACTTATGTATGGGGCCTGACCCATAAGAATATCACAGTAAAAGTAGCCATTATTGGCTATCATATAAATATTATATGGTACGAATCATTCAAAAATTTCACAAATATTTCATCATCACACAATATTGATGAAAATCCTCTTCATCATCATTATAAAATTCTACATTCTATGGATCAGACCTTTGAAATGCCTACGCTATGGTATACAATGTAGGGAGTAACATGCCGTGTACAACAGTATCTCATTTGTACACTGACGCATCTGTGAACATTACTTGCAACTTGCAGACATTCAGATATGGTAAATAAATTCTAAATACTTTCAACGTTATATTACATGTTCGAAAGACGAATGCCTGGTCTCGAATATTCACAGGTGGCCCATTTATTATTAATGCCTAGCTAACATTTATAGGTCTGAAAACAAATATTGTTTTAATATCAAGGTGATTGTTCCACACATTTATTCTTTACATAATTTAAGCAAACTTAACACATACTCGCACAACTCCATTTTCTTATTTCACGTTGCAGTCACTCCTCTATATACAAACTGTAGGAAACTATCGCTGCGTCGTCCGTCGAATCGCTTTCCTGAATTTTCGTTGAGGCAGCGCCCTAAATCGAAAACATTTGAAATATTTTATACATAATGTTACTATTAAAGTATTTATTTCAACTACTAAATAATTATAAGTACTACTTACGTTCCTGCATTTCCATCACTTCCGTCTGTAAAATTAAATGTAGGTGGGGCGCCCGTAAAATTGAAACCCCCGGGCACATTAAGTGGTTGCTGAGAAAAAAACAATTTATTTAAAAAAAAAAACCGTCAAGTAGAGAAATAACTTACCGACGGTCCTCCAAAATTAAATCCCTGTTGACTCTGTCCCTGACTCGGAAAACTCGGCTGACTTGGTGGCGGATTAGTCTGATTGGCTCCAAAACTAAACACTGCTTTTTGATTGTTATTGTTAGCATTCGGTCCAAAATTGAAACTCCCGTTCTTGGCCGCTGTACCTGTCGTCCCAAAGACGTTCCCACCGGCGTTGAACGGCTGACTTTCGACTTTCGGCGTACCACCAAAATTAAATCCAGTACTAGGCACCGAGAAGCTAAACCCTGTACTCGGCGTACTTGAAGCTGCCGCACTTCCGAAACTAAAAACTGGTGTCATATTTGGTTTGTCGGCTTGACCGAATGAAAAACCCTCGTTTTTCGGTGCAGTTTCGGCACTTCCGAACGCAAACGGTTTGGTTTCGGTCGAACCGAAACTCTGCGACGCTCCAAATGCTGGAATTTTCGGAACCGAACCAAATCCATTGGTTACGTTATTGTCGACAGGCTCTTCGAAAGCTCGTTTAGCTGAAAGTTGATTTTGTGGCGAGGCGGCAGCGCTGGTACCGAATTTGAAAATACCGGCCGCTGGAGGCTGCGTTGGACCCGCTGATGGTAGACTTGGAGCGTTCTCTGGAGGTTTTGGTGTAAATGAGAAAGTCGGCGTTGCCGATGGACTTGCAAATATGTTGTTACTGCTATCAGTGGGTTTGGTGCCGAATAAAACCTCTTTTGGTTTATTTGCGTCGCCACCAAATAGGGTTTCTTGAGGTTTGTTTGTACCCCCAGTGCCGAATAATCCAGTTTGAGGTTTATTCGTTTCGGTGGAACTTCCAAATATTGATTCTTTTGGTTTGTTGGGATCGGTGTTACCGAATAGAGAACTTGAAGGTTTGTTTGCGGTGCCGAAAAGTAATTCTTTTGGTTTGCTGGCGCTACCGAAAGGTGAGTCGTTTGGTTTGCTAGCACTTCCAAACGGTAAATCTGCAGGTTTATTACTGACAAAGGGTGAGTCTGTTGCTTTGTTTGGGGTACCAAAAGGCGATTCTTGAGATTTACTAACAGTACCAAATGAGGAACTTTGCGTCTTACTTCCAAAAGGTGAGTCATGATTCTTAGTTTCGGTACCAAAAGTAGCACTCTCGTTAGGCTTATTCGAATCAGCACTCAACACCGGTTTATTTATATCACTACCAAACTTGACGTCTCCGTTCACAGTCGGAGGTTTAAACTGAAACATGGGAGCTGGTTTCGTTCCGAAAGTACTAGTAGAAGACGTAGTAGTCGGAGTTTCTGTTTTATTACTACTATCACTACTACTCGTCACTACAGACTCCTGAGTCTTATCAAGGCCAAATTTGAAACCTACCGGCGCAGGCGTTGCTTTATCCGGCAATTTCTCGCTAGGTTTAAGTAAGGGATTACTGGCGACGGTTACGTTCTCACTTGAGGTAACAGAGTTTGTTGGCGTAACTTTTTCCTGAGTATTTATTCCGAAACTAAAACTACTACTTGTTACTGCTGTCGATTTAGCAGCATCACCGAATGCAAATGTAGGTGTCGCATTGGTGGTACTTTCTTTTGGTTCACTACTGGTGCTCGGTATACCAAATTTAAATTGTGATTTATCTATGCCAAAATTAAAACCAATTACAGGTTTCTTTTCTTCGGTCGTTGCAACATCCGAGGATTTATCGCCGGAACTTCCCGATTTCGCAACTCCGCAACAGACACAAACATTGACTGAAGGTTTATTTTTGACAAGACAGGAAGTACATTCCCATTCTCCTCCTTTCATTTTGAAGGCATCTCCAAAGCCTTTTTTCTCCGTTTCACTTTCTCTCGGCATCTCACAGGCTGCACACTGTGTCAGTTCGTTTTTATTTTTAATCAAACATGTTTTGCACTCCCACTCTTGTTTAATACCGAAAGAGAATATCGGACCTGTCATGGGTTTCACACTTGAAGTATTCGTCGCAGCTTTGGCACCTGGTTTAGGCGTCTCACAAGCCGCACACTTATCCACCGTATTTTCATTTCTGATCATGCAAGTACTGCACTCCCAGGTGTCACTCGATGGCTTGAACTTGTCTCCAAAACTACTACTTGCACTTGGCTTGGGTGTCTTAGATGTGCCACACGCCGCACAATTTTCCACTTCATTTTTATTTCTAATTAGACAAGCCGAGCACTCCCAAGTCGATGCGGGAGGCTTGAAGGCATCTCCAAATCCGGATTTGGCCACCGGTTTCTCTTCTCCGGGTTTGGCCGACGCACAAGCCACGCAGGTTTTATCCGAATTGTTATTCCGCACCATACACGAACTGCATTCCCACTTGTCACTTGACATTTTAAATTGCTCACCAAATCCTTTCATTTCTTTCTTTTCGGGTTGAGGTTTGGGCTCATCACAGGCACAACATTTGTCTTTATCGAACTCGTTTCTAACCAGACAAGTTGGACATTCCCATCTTTGTGACGGTGATTTTTTCAGCACATCCATTGCGCTTCCTGTAAATAATTGACTAGCCGGTTTTGCGATACCTGTGACATTTTCGCCGTTGTTTTTTGGTTTAATTTCGCTTTTACTATCGGCTGATTTAAACATCAAGGGTACTGTGTGCGTTGATTGTTTCTGACATACCGGTTCGCTGAATTTGAAACAATTGATCGCAGTTACAGACTTTAAGTCTTTTGAAATCACTAACGGTTCGGAAAATGTGAAACTGGACTTTCCATTTTCCACGATTTTCTTATCAGTCTCTTTTTTATCTATAATTACCGTGGGTTTAATTATAGTACTAACCGGAGATTTTGGAGTTTTAGTCTCGTTTTGATTCTCACTTGTTTCGTTTGACTTACTCGGTGGCATTAATACGAAATCAAATTTAGGTAAGGTGCTTATAGGAAGTGAGACTTTCGGCAATTTTACTTCACTGACTGGCTCTATAGTATGTGCTTTTTGTCGGACCGACGCCACACTGCTCTTCATTTTATTGCTATGTTTCTGTTTGTTGTCTTCTTCTGTTCTGATTTTGTACTCTTCCTTATTTAGCGACGACTTCGACTTTGTAGCAATTTGTCTAACAGTCTCTGTACTATTTTGTAGTCTCTCCTTTTGTTTCATTTGCAATAAATCAGGAACGGACGGTACTTGAAGCTCCTTATTCGATGGTCGTTTCCGGTCTCTAACTAGATAAGGAGTTGCCCCTACATAAGATGACAGCAATCCTGCTCTTCTCGGCGTAACTGGTATTTTTTTAGCATCGCTTATCGGAGTGCTGTATTGTTCTAAAGTGCTCAAAATTCTTCGTGCCGTTTTACTTAAGGTAGCATTTTCGCTTGGAGGTTTTTCGTTTACGGGTTTTATTTGTACAGAAACCCTAGGGTTCGTTTCTTCACTAATTTTACCTAACCTACGTCCGTATGCTGAGGCGCCACCGTAAATTGTATTGCCACTATAGAAAGGTGAGCTCAATATTCTTTTGGTCGACAATGTTCTATCAACGAAATTCGGTGAACCAAAGGTCGATGCGTTAAACGTCGGCCGTCTTGAACTCAAAGAAGTGTTCATGTTGGGGCTTCTTTCCGGGAATAAAGTACGTCCGCTTGATTCGTTTGCTAGAAAATAGACATTCCGTTGAATTCCTTTTTATAAAAATATGTGACTGCTTCAATTTTTTAATTAAATTTTTTTTTTAAATAACAAAACCTATGAAACATAAAATGAACACGCTTTATAAAATTCACCATATTTTAAGAACCAAATGAAGTTTTTATCTTATTTTAACAATAATATTACTGATTGATTTTTTACGTTGCTACAAGAAGTACATAAAAATCTCATATTCCTAAAAATACTACCAGCTTATTTTTTAAATCGGAATTATTTTCAAGGAGTTTCTCATTGTATTATAATATCTATTATTTAAGTTCGACCAGTGCAAATTTTGGCGAAGATGATTCATCAAAATTAGACATACAACATGACTCACATTTATGTCGTTATGAAGCCCCTTTTCCCGAATACATAATATGAAAAACAAATTATATATTATGTGATGTTCAGTATACTAGGTTTTTTTTCCATTAAAATCTTAATTGCAAAAGAAAATATGACCAGTTTGCTTAATTAGTTCATACTGCCATCCTGAAAAAGTACTCCTAAACGAATAAAATTTCATTATCTACGTTTCTATTTTTATTCAAAAACCTAAAAATTGTTACTCAAATTAACAACCGCTCTATTAAAATTGAACCTTTGATTTTTCGATACTTCGCCAAAAATCATTATTTAAAATATCATTTCCAGGTATATTGAAGAGTTTCTAAATTTTTGTTTAAACGCCTCCTTAAAACTATAACTGGCAACTACATACAAGAAAATTTCGTTTACAACACACAAACAATACTTCTTTGACTAATTACTATTAGTGTCATTGCAAAACCCTTTATCTAAACGACATTTTAACAAAAAAGAATTCATAACTGATCAATATTTAATTTTACATTCGTTACCTAATTCTTCTAATAACTTTGGCCACGTTGCTCTTAATTTATAAAGGCGCTGTACCTAATTTAATGAAAGAATTTATTTTATTTTTTTCAAATAACTAAAAATTGCTTAAAAACATGAAAAATCCATAAAAGAAAAATTATATATCTCCAGACTAAAAACATTTTTGTGTACAGCGATTCAAGCGATGCTGTACTTTAATCTAGGGGTCAAATATTACAAAGAAAACAAAACAAGGAAATTACTGGTTCCATTAATAACCATAACAAGTTTATTCTATCGGTACGTATTTTAACTTTGTTTCATATAATTATCTATACCTCATTAAAAGCGAATAAACGGATCAGATAGTTTACCTTTATCGTGTAAATAAAAATTATACTAAACTTTGACCTGATACCCACACAACTTATGTACGTCATAAACAATCTTTTGCAGATGTTAACATTGTAAATGATAAATGTAGCAGAACTGTTGTATACTACAGGTAATTTTTACATTTAATTAAAAAAAATATATAAAAGCTTTAATAATCTACAATAGCACTCAGTGATTCACTGGTAATGTTGACTTGTGAAAAGCGACTAAAACTTCTGGTAATTATGCATACAGATGTATCTCCTACAATACTGATTGAAATCAAATTTCATAATATCAGAGAAGATCGAACATAAATTTATTATTTGGAAAACAACTTCTGATAAGGAATAATTTCATGTTCTGCATTTTTCTCGCATGAATCACAATAAAGTATTCCTGAGAGAATTATGTACCCAATGATTACCAAAGCTAATAAGAAAACACTATGCAAAATAATAAAAACAAACATTATGTAACATAAACTTACATGAAGTAAACAAGGACCTAGTTTTTGGTGTGACTTTCTCACAAAGTTCCTTGTTGTGAGACACTTCTGCACTTTTGGGTTGATTAAGCAATTTAGGTGCTGAAGAATAGCCACTAGTTGATTCTTCACTGTCAGAGTCATTTTCACCATTAACAATTTCTTGATTTTCCATCGAATTGGTAGAGAGTGTATTTGTGCTAGAAGAACGATGTTTGTCGAACAATTTACGAGATTTAACCCCCGACGGTCCCGCCACCGGTTCAGGGAACTTCCCAAACACTTTAGATGAAACATTGTTAACATTATTGGAAGCTTTATGCACAGTCACTGGTGATTCGAATATATGTGCACTGTAATTGTTGTGTTCTACTTCTGTCGGTAGTTTCACACGTTTGCTTGGTGGTTGGAAAACGTAGGAGGCATCAAAGTCCTCGTCGTCATCGTCCTCCCGCCTCTTGATCGACTTAGACGTGGAGTCTTTCCCAAACCATTTGGACAAGGGCGTGCTGTTGAAAAGCCCCGACACAAACTTGCCCACGAATGACTGCAAAGAAAAAATTCAAAATAGGACTATTAGCTACCTTACACGTCAAGGTTAAATAAATAAATGGAAGAAACTAAGGTTAAATAAGCGTGCTGATGGCACTGTCAGGTTGCACAGAGGTGTTGGGGCGACCTTTGGGCAGTGTAAAGACAAAATTTCGTGAGAAATTTTTATAGCTATATTTAGAGGTGAGAACGCGCGAATATGTGCAAAGAACGCATTTTATCAAACCTTATCCAATCCTGCATCTTTCGAGTTGTCTGGACTGTTTTCGGCACCTTCATTATTATTATTTGCCATAATTACAATTGTTCTTAGTCTATTTTACACAAATAAAGTAATTTTATAAAATCACACATTTCTATGACAACTTTCACCACACGAGGATCCAATATGGCGGACACAGGTTATGAAGTTAGCTACATTTTGCGCGCGCGCCCCCCTCAAAGATTGTGAAGTTGGCAACTAGCCACAAAAGCATTCCCGCTGAATTTTTAAATTTTGAAAAGTAACTTAATATTGCTATTATTATTTAACTTTATGTCATATTATAGACTCTCGAACAAAATAACAATGCCATGTTTATCACACTTAAAATTTGTATTAATTATAAAAAAAAACAAATTGCATTGCTCTATTTTTTTTATTTTGTGTCACTGTTATGTTACCTGACATTTTTCAAAATAGATTATCGTGGTTTAAAAATATTAAATTTATATACTAAATAAATGAAAAAAAAATTCTATTTTTCATTCAATTTCATTCAAAAAAATTCTATTTTTTTTTCGTCCTGTTACAACGTTTATTTTTACAACATAATTTATAAAAAAAATTAGTATTTCTAAAAATGCAAATCAGCAACTATCAAAACACTTGTGTTAATATAGTTGCCTACCATATACTCGTGAATAACATTACAATATGATTTTCAAAATTGTACAAAATAGAAGTAAAAAGATGCTATTTTGGAGACGATTTTGAATGCTTACCAACTTAGCAACAATAAACAAAATACTTACCGACCAGTTTGGGATAGCAACGATTAAATACAACTTACTGTCTTACTTACTATCGAATAGAGTCTAATCGCACATAAAAAATATTTTTTTGTCAGAAATTTTAAAATTTGAGAATGATTTTTTTCTGTCTCAACCTCAACAACTCAAAAATAGTTTAAACGTCGATTGACTTTCTATTATTTCTGACCATTATGTCAGAAATTTCAAATTATACTAAAATAAGTGACATATATAGGGTACCTATTAGACATTTTTACAAATTATTTGCTAAGAAACTTTGCATGTTTCCCAGGATAATGTGTAATCATAAGTTTCTATATTTTTTATAGAAATTCTAATAATAAGCTACCTACTTCATATAATTTGTCATATTTATTTTGGAATTTTCAATATTTTTTTTTAGTTTGATGTGAAAGATAAAACATTGTATAAACTATAGGCATTATTTAATGACTACAGCCCTTGAGTGACTTACTAGAGTCTCGAGCTGAAGGACCTCGACCTTGCAATCTTGTCGCCCTCGAAGGCCATATACATCCAATAAAGCACTTGGTACATAAATAACTATAGTTGGAAATAATTGAAAACGTGTAAAAAATGAGTTTTGTAATAATATTTGGTATATTCTTTCAAACTCCAAATTATATAGGTATATCCTAAGCTCTCCAAAAAATTAAAACTTTCTCTAAAACTGCTGATTTATTTCAGATATTTAAACAGAAAATCTGTAATAATGAATTCAAAATATTAGACATTCATTCTTATTAATTCTTCATTTTATTTCCCGGACATTATTATTATTAGTAAACTCATATGAAGCAAGTTCCTTCAAAGTTTATAGATAGTTTATGTAACATGAATATTCAACATTTTACAAAAGTATTGCTGATGATTTAAAGTGGATTAGGGATCTTCGTTGACCGAGTTTTTACATGGTCAGTCATATGTGACAGGAGACAGAATTTTGCTTCAGCATGAAAACATAACAAAATTATATACTATTTTCGTAACCAATATTTTTTGGTTAATTGATAGAGGATTGATTTGAGAAATTTTCAGTACAAAAATTAACAGAATCAAAAATCAGTGTAATAATAATTATTTATACGATGAACTTTCACAGGAGAAAAATCGTAAATTTTGACAGTGTCTAAGAATAAATAAATTAAAACAAGGGAGGAAATTGGTATCGATCTCTAATAAAATTTTGTTTCAATCATACTCGTCGTAAATAACTATTTATACTATTTTTTATACGCTGCGATTAATATAATTAGTCAAATTTTTTTAAATAATAATATAAATAAATATAATCGTTATTTCTCATTTAGTAAGTAATATACATTACGTTATATGCCTTAGTCTGTCAGTCATAACAGTTCACACATTCTGTCGAAAAAAAAAATTATAGAAAGGTTTTGCATACAAAACAAACCTATATTAGTATATTCTGCATATTTTATCTACATTCGTAGAGTTATATCTATTGGGTACCTACCCATAAAACTTTAAAATTAAATAAAATTGCAGAATTTCTGTTAATCATTAGTTGGTCATTTTTATCCGCAAATCCTTGTAAAAATATTTTATAATATATGTAATGTTTTAAACTTTTTTTTGTTTATTTGTATTTGATGAGAAGATTATTATAATCATTACATTATTCATAAAACCAAGACATAACATTTCATATAATGTTCCATTAAACTATCTCTTATCTTATTTTGACAGTTCTGTTGTAATACACATGTTTCAGTTTCAACTTGCAACAAGAGTAATACAGATTTAGACATAATTTCCGTAACACGTTTACCATATCTGAAAATCTTTTAACAACTTAACAAGTATGTCAGAAATTTATGATTTATGTCTACCATCACAGATAATTCTCCGAAGAAATTCTTATTATAAAATAATAATAAAATTATAAAATATAGTATAATGATAAAACAAACATCAGCTACAGGTAAGAATTCAGAAAACTTTCGCCAAAAATTTAGTGGAGAAACCTGGAGAAAAAAATTGCCTTTAATCGAACATTGAACCAGAGAAAATCTATTCACAAAAGTAAAACTAACCACATTCTGACACATGTTCAATTTATTTGCAAAAAGTAAGTTAAACGTTTTGTCCAGTTGTCCATCATAGTTGCAGAAGAAGTAAATAGTTATTTTTGTACGAGCTTTCCAGTCAAGCGCAATCATGGTGTACAAATATAGTGGCACAAATAGCGGTAATATAATTAATTTTCAGAACGCGAATAAGGAGGAATAACAGTCTGGAATGCGCCCAAAACAAAAATGTAACCGTTCATACGCTTTCAAAAATGATCGCTAATACATTAGCAATTATTGAAAAAATATCGACGTTACAATCGCAATGGACGATAAATTTATCCGTGACAGAACGGATGTTAGACAATTTAATTATCAAAGTGGTGATTTTATTGCTCAATTTTGTAAGGAAATCCATTCGTGTCGTGAAAGTGATGAAAATCTCAATTTTCCACTCATTTACTAACCGATGGTTTGCTGTTAAAAAATGCGACTAAGTTGCTTCATATAATATTTTTTAGTCAATTTTCATGGCTCCGTAAGTCGATTAGTTCCAGTTTATATAATGGTAAAGAAAAAATATTTCCGTAATTTAAAAGAAGCTAATTGAAGTAAAAGTGAGAAGATACTTAGAAATCGATTGATAATTTTACCAAATTACCATAAATATTGCATTAAGGATGAAATTCATAATTAAATTCATTAAGAGCAAAAATTTGTTTAAACTTTTTCAGGCAATGTTAATAAAATCGAATCGATGATTTAGTGATTGATGTTAAATTTTACGGTAGTAAGCGGGCCAACCTGTATAAGAATCATGCCACCGGGAGAAAAATACGTGCAAAATACATTTTTTGCTGAAAGTTCTTGTATCAAAAACTGTAAAAGAAATTATTTCAAGCAGAGTTCGAAACTTGACATTATATTCGTCAAAGAAAATAGAGTTTATGTTAGTCTAATACACACGATAACAGATTTTTGGAGATAAGCATGTCTTAAATTAGCCTCAATTACAATTATTACCGGTTGTAGTCTCTTACAAATAATTGCGTAATGCTTTCGATAATTGAATCTTGACAACAAATGATGTTGTTGTTAAAAAACAAAACCACTTTCTACTTTCCCCTCTTTTAAAAGTAATAGATGGGGTCAACCCTACCAGACATAGTGTCATTGTAGCAAATTATTACAATTTACTTTCCCACGTCTCATTTTAATTACTTTCTCGTTTCATCAAGATAGATACTAATTCCAAGTTTATGTACAGCCTTGTCGCAAGCCTTTGTAATTAATCATTCGCAAAAGCTAAAAAGAAACATGGGAATCACCGTCAAAGAAGATTTTTCCGGAAGTTTCTTGTTGCCGAACATTTAGTACACTTTTATTGAGACTCGAAACTCATTGTACTGTTTTTGTAGAACCTTGTAATTAATACGCTTGTAAACGTCAATCTTACAATCTTCTTTCTCTCAACATTTCCGGTGTCAAAAACAAAAAAATTGAATATCATTACAGTAACGCGTGTTAAACGATTACAAAAGTACACAATTCTGAATTCCGACAAGATTTTGAAATGTTACTTGTTTTGTGCCAAGTAATTAATCATTTACTCAGGTGCGAATTAGTTTTTTTTAAGTATTTAGAAATTTCACACTTTAAAACTTTGTACGTCGAGCATGTTTTCTTTTGAAACAAGGATTTACTTATAAGGAAAATTGCTCAATTGTTTAATACAAATTCATGCAGTTTATACTAAAAGTATTTTTATAGTAATTATTGACAAAGCAATGAGGAGAAAAAACCAATTAGAACAACAAGAAGTAGTTGTTTAATTTAATCAATCTAATCGATATTTCACTGTACAAGTAATTCATAACAATTTCCAATATTGTATTAATAATCTGAGGCAAAATTTAAGTTCACAGTAAAAAAATAACAACAAATATCAAATTAATTGAAATTAAAAGAATAAAATGCAATTTGATATAAGTTTACACATTTATTACAACAAACAAACAAAAACTGAGAAATGTTATCGCGTAGTTCATTTCCTGGTATTCCTATTACTGAAGAGCGTAACAATCACTATTGTTTAAAATTAACAAAAACTGAAAAATGGATATGCATCAATGCTCAAAACAATTTTGGTCTAATGTGCTCACTATTCTTGTTAGTGGTTATAACAATAAATAAGTAATAATAATAAATACTAAAATGCTATAGGTGGATGCTTAAAATTTGAAATTTTTATATAAAAAAATAAAAACAATTATTCAAGTTTTTGAATCAAAAATCAAAGATCAAAAAACTTCATATTTTTGCAACAAC